GAAGCCAAATGTGTTCAACTCACAAAATGTCGAAGCAACCTATGACATGGACCGCGGAGAAATCCAAAGTAATTATTTGAAGCTTATCAGTGGCACAAACTTGGAAGAGGAGCAGAATAGTGATTATGTATATGATTTAAAACATGGACAACAATCTGATTCTTCTTCAGAAGAAGAGAGTAGCTCAGAAGACATGGACTATGCTGATGAAGAGAGCTCAGAAGCAAGTGAGGAGTATGCTAGTGTTGACAGTGAAGAGATATACAGTGATGATCAAGCTGATACTTTGATGGATCCTCCTCGAGATAATAGTGATGATCATGCAGACATTCTAGTTGATACATTTTGTACTTAATCATTAGTGGATATTGCTGCGACATCAGAATTGGACACCATCGACAACAAAGCTCATCTTTCTACTAGGGGTAGAGGCAGGGGCAGAGGTAACACTAGAGGTGGCAGACAAACAACAAGAGGAAGGGGTGGTAGACACTCTACATATCAGCCTGTGAAAACCTCACAGGAACTACACCTTTCCAAATAATCTAATGATTAAGTCCCTATTTTGGAATATGAGGAGCATCAATTCCAATGGTGCTCTTGAGAGACTTAAGCAACTTATTAGATCACAAAAACTTCCTTTTGTAGCTCTATGTGAACCTTTTTGTAAAGCTGCTAAATTGGACAAATACAAAAGAATTTTAGGATATGCAAATGCTTATGCCAACAGTAATAGTCAAATATGGATTTTTTGGGATGAGCTACTGGAATGCAGGGTTATTGAAGAGAGTGAGCAACAAGTTACATGTGAAATCAAGTGGAATGGAGATACAATTATAATATCGGCTGTTTATGCTAAGTGTGATGCTGTACTTAGGGAAGATTTGTGGGATAGCTTGAGGGACATTGCAGATAGGTACAAACTACCTTGGCTCATTGCAGGGGATTTTAATTGTATTGTGGATCCTGGTGAAAAGAAAGGAGGTAAGCCTCACGGAATGTCCAAAAGCTTACCTTTTATACAGTGTATTATGGATTGTGAACTCATTGATCCAGGTTACTCTGGATCTATCTTCACATGGTGCAATGGATGGTGTCCAGAGAAGAGGATATGGAAAAGATTGGATAGGGTCTTGATCAATCAAGAGTGGTTGAACCTATTTGATTCAACTAGTGTCAATCACTTGATCAGGACTGGGTCGGATCATTCTCCCCTATTTGTCATTGCCAAAACTACACACAGAGAACCTATTAAGTACTTTCGGTTCTTGGATTTCTGGACCAAAGAAGCAGATTTTAGCAGGGTGGTAGAGCAAGCTTGGAATATGGAGGTGCAGGGATCACCAATGTGGAAGTTCCACATGAAGCTGAAAAATACTTGCAAGAAGTTGTCTGAATGGTCCAGGAATACTCTGGGCAATATTTTTGACAAGATTGAAGAGCTAGAACACAAAGTAGAGGAGATGGAGACCAACATCATTGCCGATAATTCTGAGGTGAATAGAGCTGGCTTAAATCAGGCTAATGCTTTATTGGTGAGAGCTTACAAGAAAGAAGAGTCCTTTTGGAAACAAAAATCAGGGGTTAAATGGTTTGTGGAAGGAGAAGTTAATTCTAAATTTTTTCACTCTGTTGTTAAAGGAAGAAAGAAGAGGTTAACTTTGAAAAAGATGAGAAAGGAAGATGGAACGTGGGTTGAGGGTGATGAGGAAATTGCTCATGAAGCAATCTCTTTCTTTCAGAATCAGTTCACAAGGGAGAACTTTGACAATGACTTCTCAGTTCTGGGGTGTATTCCTACAATCATTGATGATGCAGATAATGAAAAACTTATAGCAGTACCAACCATGGAGGAATTAAAAGATGTGGTATTTTCAATGAGCTCTCAGAGTGCACCAGGCCCTGATGGTGTCTCTGGGAAGTTCTATCACTCATGTTGGGAGATAATAAAAGAGGATTTACTACTAATGGTTCTTGATTTTTTTGCAGGTAATCAAATTCCTAAGGCATTTACTCATACTTGTCTGGTCCTAATTCCTAAGGGGACTATCCACAATCTTTCACAGAGCTAAGACCAATCAGTCTTAGTAACTTCTCATGCAAGATCCTGTCCAAGTTGGTGAACCAAAGACTAAGTCCCTTGATGCAGAAGTTGGTGTCTCCTAATCAAACAGGGTTCATCAAGGGGAGATCAATTACTGAAAATATCATGTTGACTCAAGATATGGTCCACAATATTGTTAAACCATCTGCAAGTGGGAATGTGGTATTGAAACTGGATATGGCTAAAGCATATGACAGAGTTTCTTGGGAATATCTTTGTCAAGTACTTAGACAGATGGGTTTTTCAGAAATCTGGATTGATATTGTATGGAGACTTATGACTAATGTTTGGTACTCTATTAACATAAATGGAGTTAGACATGGTTTTTTTAAGTCTAGCAGAGGAATCAAGCAGGGAGATCCTCTCTCTCCATCCCTGTTTGTCATTGGTGCAGAACTTTTATCTAGGCTTATGGACAACCTAATTGACTCAGGGTTCATTCCATACTCAGTAGATAAAAAGGGACCTAACATATCTCATTTGTGTTATGCGGATGATACTATCCTCTTTTCTTCTGCTGATCCTACCTCATTAATATTAATGATGTCTAAATTGGAAGTCTATGAGAAGGTTTCAGGTCAGATGGTAAACAAAGGAAAATCTGGGTTCTATACTTCATTGAAAGAGGGTGATACTAGAATTACAGACATTTCGAGGATAACTGGTTTTTCTTATTGCCAATTTCCGATGATATATCTGGGGTGTCCTATCTATGTAGGTAGGAAAAAGGTGGTTTACTTCAACAACATGGTGGCCAAAGTTGCTAATCGGATGCAAGGGTGGCAAGGAAGATTATTATCCTATGGTGGGAAGGCAGTCCTAATTAAATCTGTGTTGCATGCACTTCCTTTGCATCTACTAGCTGTGGTTCACCCTCCTAAAACAGTTTTGAACCAGATTGATAAAATTATTGCTAACTTCTACTGGGGAAAGGAGGATAGTAGAAACAAAAGGCACTGGATAGCTTGGAGCTATTTATGCTTTCCAGTGCAAGAAGGGGGAGTTGGTTTCAGGTCTTTACAAGACACTTGCAATGCATTCTCTGCCAAACTCTGGTGGAATTTTAGGACTCAAAATACCTTGTTGAAGAAATTCTTGGAGGCTAAATATTGTAAAAGATCTCACTCTGTTGCAAAGAAATGGGTCTATGGGCAATCTCATACTTGGAAAAGACTAATGGACATAAAAAAAGATGTTGAACCTGCTATTTTTTGGAAGATAGGAAGAGGTCAAATTTCCTTTTGGTGGGACAATTGGACTGGTCTAGGAGCTTTAGCTAATCTAGTTCATGCTATTAGAACACCCAAGAATACTTTGGTGAAGGATTTTATTCAGGAAGGTTCTTGGAGACGAGAGAAATTACTGGAGGTATTGCCTCTCAATGTGGTTAACGTAGTTCAGGAAGTGGATATCAATGAACTGAGGAATGATTGCCCTTACTGGATGCCGGAAAATTCTGGAGTCTTTACTTGTAAGTCAGCGTGGGATATTGTTAGGAAGAAAAAGGGGGAGTCTCTGACATGTAAGAAGATCTGGCATAAAAAAATGCCATTCAAGATCTCATTCTTTATGATGAGACTTCTACAAGCTAGGATCCCTACTGATGATGTTGTTAAGAAATTTGGTATTATGATTCCCTCAAAATGTTGTTGTTGTAATAATCATGATGAGGAAACCATTTCACACCTTTTCAGTAGTAGTCAAATAGCAACACAGATATGGTCCTATTTTTGCAATGCTTATGGCATTAGGTTTATCAAGGATCAGATAAGGCAAACTCTTATGAATTGGTGGCTAGCTAAGGAAAGAAGCTTAGTTCACTCTATGGTTCTGCAGTGTTTACCTTCACTTATCTGTTGGGAGATTTGGAAGAATAGATGCTCAGCAAGATTTGAAGATATTCACATGTCAAGATGGCATATTATTCAACAAGTCTCTAATTGCTTATCTTTGATGCTTAACTGTCAATTCCCCAGTCTTACTCTTCCACATGTATGGCTAGAAAAGTGTAGGACTATAGAGAAGATTCAACATAGTATCCATTCTCAAGCAGTTTGGTGGAAGAAACCAGATAGAGGTTGGGTTAAACTCAATGTAGATGGGTGCAGTAAAGGTAATCCTGGATCAGCTGGAGGTGAAGGTATTATTAGAGACCAGTTGGGGGATATGGTGAAAGCCTTTATTGAATTTTATGGACATTGTAGCAATAACATGGCTGAAGCTAAGGCAGTTTTACATGGTATCAAATTGTGCAATAGCTTAGGACTTCAAAATGTTATTGTGGAGACAGATTCCCTGTTAATTGTTTCTATTATCAACAGAAGGATGAAGCCACCATAGCGGATCAAACATATTATAGAGCAGATTTGGGAGATAACCAGTCTAGGTAATTTTAATTTTGTGCATACTTTTAGAGAAGACAACTATGTAGCTAATCAACTTGCTAACCTGGGTGAAAATACAAAGGAACACATTATCTTCAATGAAGCTATTTCTCTTCCAAGACAAGTTAGAGCTTCTTTGCAGTTAGAACAAGATGGCCTTCCGAATTTCAGATTCACAACAAGAAGGAACCAATTTACAATTAATGATATTATTACTTGAGAATATTTTGGTTCGGGCAGAAGTGACAAACTTGTATGTAATAGCAGTTTTTGGTGTTATGTACATGTCTATAGGTAAGGAGATTGCTTCCATTCTCTGTCCAAATTGTTTTTTTGCAGTTGTACAATAGATTGGCCTTAGTCAATCTACACTATGTAATCGAGGCTGAGGTTTATATCCTCCTCCGTGTAATTGTTATTTTTGAAATACACAGGTTGGAGTCATGCCTAACTCCTCCATCTTGATGATGGACTTTAAAAAAAAAAAAAAAAAAAAAGTTCAATTCTTGTCCGAATAGAAACACCATAGATAGAAAATTTTGAACTTCTGAGAAACTTAAGTTTCCATTATCAGCCATTTTCACAAAAAGTATGGCTTTAATTTCTTTACAGTCCCCAGCCCAGTACCCCCTTTTGAGGAAACAAGACAAGAAAGAAAAAAGAGAAAAAGAAAAATAAAACACAGTTGGTAGGCTAATTAAGAGCCTAGAGCTATTTTTTTTTCCCGATACAATTAGTTAAAGCCATATAGCTTTGGCATTGATTAGCATTTCCTTGAGAGAACCATCAACATGAAGGGAAATAACATCCTTAGCTGAACCAACAAACTGTCCACCAATGAAGATAGCAGGAACACATGGATTACAACCTAAGCTTCTCAAAGCCAGTGCCATTTCAATTCCTCTTGAATCTTGGTCCAATTCATGAACTGCTGGGCTTGCTCCAATTTCATAGAATAGTGCTTTTATGCTATGACACATGCAGCATGAGCTCTTTGTGAATATTACTGCTGCCCTCTTTGATGCCAACTCTCTAATCTTATCCATTAGTATCGTAAATCTTAAGATGAGTTCAACGAGAACAGAAAAAATCTCAGGGAGTATTGCAAGTCTAAATGATGCTAGTGTTGTAAGCTTTAGTGAGGTTTGAGGTTTCATATGTTAGGTTATTTATAGGGATTCTTGATAGATAGGGATTATATTGTTTATCCCGAAAAGGGGAAAAACAAGATTACTGAAGCTAAAAATGAAAAGAGAAAATTCCTTAAAGATATTTTGTTCTTATGAAGGAATCAAATATTTAAGTATGGGGAACTTAACAAAATAAGAGATTAAAAAAAGTGTCAGCACTTCGATAATGTTCTTGATTTTGACCACTTATACAGTTCTATGCTATGAAAAAGTTGATGAATAGAGTCGCCCATAACGATAATACCAGACTCCTGCGACGTCCGTACAGCAATAACAATATTGTTTAAAAGTATTGTACGAGGGATTTCAAAGATAAATATTTTATTCCTTCTTTAGTTGATAAATTCTTATAATTAATTGAAAAACTTTCGGTGATAAACTACTAAATCTAGTATAATAGAGTATTCAACTATTTCAAGAATAATGATGTGTAAAGAGTCTAAAAAGAATACTACTGTATCACTAGATATAGAAGAATGTCGAATAAAATAAAACTATGCTTTACATATAATTATTCAATGCATGCGTACGTAGGAGAATATCATCAATAAAAAACTTAGGTCTGAAGAATTTTTTCTTGTGAGCAATGTCACACAAGTTCAGCCACTAGATTCAAGATGTAAAAAGTTATAATATTCCTCATTCCTCTAAATCTCGTTTTGTAGACAAGGTCAATTTCTATGGAATCAAAGCACCTAATTATTGGAAACGTAGATCCCTTACTTTTTCCAAAAGGAGATTTTCTTGTTGCAGAGTAAAGGGGTGATTTTCTGGGCAGTTACAAGTGTGCTCGTTTTGTAATGGTTATAGTTGGAGGATATATAGCTGATGTGTAAAAGATACGAACTTATCCTATTTGTTCTCACCTTTAATTTGCTTATCTACGAGAGTCATCAAACCAAGATTCTTTGTTCGCCGAAATAATGGTTCTTCAAAGCGGAACCAACTACTTGCATAAGGTATAAATAAGGTTTACGTACAAATTACTCTCTTCCGACCCTATTTATAAAATTACATTGGGTTTGTTATTATTCAGATTGGAACCAAGTCGTTTGTGTCAGGATGTCACACAATGATCGACAATTGTCTCTTTGTATATGATATTCGATAATTATCACATCATAAGCTAATTTTTGTATTTAATTAGGTTCAAACATCATTTTCTATATGATCAGGAGGTTCAATTGAACCTCCTTAGTCTAAAAAGCATATGGGTAAAAATAAACTATACTGTGCATATGGCGGGCATTATATATGCGTGTTTTCTACTTATTTCATTAGTAGTTATTGATTTTTGGCTATAATTATATATTTTTAGTGCATTACTTACCTTACACTTAGGTGCTTTAATGCTAAACTATACTATATTTGTGCTTAATTGAGTTTATTTTATGTGTAGGTATGTTGAAGACGAAATTGAGAGTAAAATCGAGATTTTATGTGTATTTTATGCACTACAAGAATGGTTTGTAATTATTTAACGATGCAAAATAGTATGATATCATGATTGGATAATGATTGAAGATAAATTTATTCAAGGATAATGTGTACAAATTGATATGAGATGAAATTGGAAAGCAAAAGAAAGAAATGAGAGTGTTAGGCAACTAGTACTAACAAAAGACCTCCAAATTGAAATTGAAGAATGAGAAACGAAGCAGCAGGCGTAGCGAGCTATTTAGCTCGCGTTAGAGCAGGCTACGCGAGGGTTGCAGCGAGATGGAGCTCGCGTTTGAGCTCGCTAGGCGCGGTCCGTCGCGAGGCGATGCGTGTTCCGGGTTTTAAAGCCTATTTTGTCTCCTTTTTGGTTTTGGATTTAGTTATTTCGTCTAGGTCTTTTCCCTACACATGTAAGTAGTCATTAAACACTATTTTTATGCGGGATTCGACCTAAGGAGGCAAGAACACACTAGAATCAAGGCGGAGAATTCTTCTACGAGTTTTTCACTTCCTTCTTCCTATTTCCATTATTGGTTATGAATTCTAGTATTGTAGTTATGCATACTATTATGAATAGCTAATTTGTTATCTAGACTTTTGATAGAACCTTTTTTAGGATAAATTCTTGTTATGTTTTTATATAATTGCGCCATTGGATTTCTCTATTGTTCAACTACGCGTTTATTGTTGTTGATTGAATGGCTATCAATTGACTGTGCCTATTTAGTATGTATTGCTTGGAAAATGGTATATATTAGGTAGTTGTTGAACAACATCACTCCTGACGTAAGTGAGGAATCAATACAAAAGGTTTAAAGGTGGGATAAGGAATAACGAAACCTTGGTGCGATCTTAGTTAGCGGTAAACTAATGCCAGCTAGTGTAATTCAGAAGAATATGTCTAGTAAATTATGGTAGTTGCTCGGAAGAGAATTACGACACCCGAAGTACTCACGATCGATAGAGAATACTTAGGCGAAATTATAGAAAACGTAGCGGGAATGATTCCGATAATTGGGGAAGTCATAACTCTAGACCTCCTTAGGATTGTCTCCAATTTCATCCTAGTTAGTTCATAATTTTACTGTTTTATAATATTTATTAGTTAATTAGTAGAAATAAAAATCAAATCTCTATTACTAGGAAATTGTTTGGACTTGTGTTTCTTAGCAATATTGAACAACTGTAGCTAAGCCTCAGTTCTATTCGACTCCGGACTTGTAAACCAGATCATATTTGCAATGACTGCTTAGTCCGTTTTATAAGGCATAGTTGGCGTGATCAAATTTTGGCGCCATTGCCGGGGAACTAACAGTGTAGCTGAAGGTGTACATATTGCTAGGTTGCAAGTTTGAACTTTTATTTTTATTTTCTTGTATTTGATTTTATTTTTGTTTTACTTGTTGATTTTAGAAAAATGACATCTTAGAATTATGGAAGTTTCAGTATTGGTAGTTCTACTTTTGATCTTCCATATCCTCTCGAAATCCTTATGATGATGGTTCTACTTTTTCTTGTGAAGTTAATAGGAACAAAGAACCTGGAAATACTGACCTGAAGGAGATCATGGATATGTTGAAGTGCCTTGTGGTACAATATGATGAGAAACCACTGCAGATACAAAGGCAAGAGGCAACTATTCGCAACTTAGAGGCTTAAGTGACTCAACTAGTTGATCTTTGTAAAGCGCAACAAGCTGACATTATGGATAGTAGCTAAGAAGAGCATGAATTAGCGGCATAAATTGCTATTATAATGGAGGAGTTGAGAGTAGAATACGATCAAACCAACCAACTAGAATTTAATGATGTCGATGTTGAAGGCGTGATACTAGAGTCAAGCGAGGACATTGAGGAAAAATATTTAGTTGACTCTAGTGTCATTGATGGAGAGGATGTTGAAAATCTCGAAGTTCAGGTATTTGAGTGTGTTGGACCTCATTCCAAATACTTCTCTACATTATGTTCAGACGGCGAAATGGTAATTGATCTGTATGAGCCAATGCAAGAGTCAAAGGAAGAGGTAGATGAGCCATATATTCTGAAATTTTCAAGGCCGTCTAGGCAAAGGGACACTCCTCGGTTGAAAGCCAAAAAGTTCATAAAGTACCATTTAATTTTTGGCTCGCAACAATTTATATCACTCCAAGAGCATGATCATAGAGCAGAATCAAAACTTGGGGTCCAATTCATTAGATCGAAGTGAAGGCAGAAAGTGATTCACGTCGTGCCGTGACGTTAAATCAACCGCTTATTGGGAGTCAGCCCAGTTTTACTGCTTTCTTTTATTTTTTTTATTCTTTTAATTGTATTATTTTTGTAGTGTCGATTTTTGATTTCTAGGAAGATGGAAAGCAAAGCTATTGGAAGGATGCAACAACAAACCAGATGGTTAGAACTAAGTGTGAGGTACCCGCACGAAGGACCACGCCTAGGGAGAAGTCTGAGTACCTCATGAGCTGCTAGCGCTTCGGCCTTTGGACTACCAGGGAGTTTCTTTTACCCTCTTATTAGTTATGGTGTGCATTGGGGACAATGCACAATTTTAAGTGTGGGGTGAGGAGATTGTCTGGGTGACTTTCTATGCTATTTTAGCAGTGTTAGTTTAATCGAATGATGTTCTTTTTTTTAGAAAAATGAAAAAAGTAGAAAAATTGGAGTTTTCCCAATGATGGATCTCCGAGACAGCTTTCTTGAGGGATTAAAGTCTAAACAAAAATCCAAAAATATGTCTTTTAGTTTCCTTTAGGTAGTAATAATCCCCAGTGGTTTTTCTTTGTGACTCGGTTCTTTTCCATGTGATGTAGTTTGCACCGGGTAGTATTTTTTTAGAGTAGACTAAGAATTTAGGGAATAAATGGAGGAAGAAAGATGAGATTCCTAGGTGCCCTTGACTTGTTTAATAGTACCATATTTAGGATTTGTCATGTGTAATATCTTTCCTATGAGCTAAAATTGCTTATGATGCCTTGGTTATTTGGATAACATGTTTTGTGACGCCTACGTCTCATTTTCTTGACTTATGTTCACTTTGTGCTTAGTGTTTAATATCTTGTGGCTCCGTGAATACTTGCATTAGTTTGAGAATCGAAATGACACCGTCCTTAGTGAATCATGTGCCACGTGTGGTGAGATTTTGTGTAGTCCATGCATTGTACTTGTGTCTAGAACTTGCCCGGTATGTGAGTTGAAGCAAAATTTAGGTGAAGGTCGGTGTGAAAAATGATTTTAGGCTTTCTTTGATTTTTTTGAGCTTTATTGCTTATCAAAAATAAAATATATCCCTAGTTAACTATTTTGAGCCTATAGACTTTTATTTGGCACCCACATTACAAGCCTATACCCTTTTTGTTCTTAATTGATATTTTTGATCCTTTTACCTCTTAAAGCACTTCAATAGTGAAATGAGCGCTAAAAGAAGTAAGAAGGGACTAAGTGTGGGGTGACTTTCAAGTGGAACCAATGAAACAAAGAAGGGTGCACTTGTATTGTAAAATAATACACCACTAGCGAAAACTCAAAAGGGA